ACACCAGAAATTAATTTTCATTAGCTTGCTCTTCATTTTATACTCCAGTCTCTCAATCTTGTTCCCTCTGAAAGCATATTTTTAAAAAAACCCAAAACATTATTTATTTTCCTCAGTTCTCAGTTTTTAAAATGATAACACATGTTAGCAAAAAAAATACCTTGACAAGTTGATGACCTTGTTTGGCTGTACTGCAGATAAGAAGCTTGAAGGTCCTGAAACAGAGTAACACCACCAGCAAGCACGGAAACTCATGTTCTGACAGACCCCATGGACTTCAACAAGGACACTCATTTAATCTGATTGCACCACTGAAATTTCAGTTTCCAGACTTGGCAGCTGGTATTTAAGTTATGGATGCTGCACTTGCCAAATGGTTCCAGAAAGTTCAGAAGAGAGGGATTATCAAGGCATTTCCCCTCCTCCCCTTCTTCATTCCTGATTTCTAGGGATGTGCCAGCTGCTAATTGGAGCAGCTACAGGCTCACTCTACCTTAGAGGGATTTACCACAGCTTTACTTGGGTAGCCTCTCCCACGTCTCTCCAATCAGACTGTGAAATCTCTACAAACTTAAGGTTAGACTTCAGCTCTGATCTTGGAAACTCAGATCCTTCCCTCATCCACAAATCACAGTATAGCTTGTTATATAAAGAGTTACTGTCAACTGCAAAATATAATTTAGAGGAACATTAAAGTCATCACTTGTTTCCCCTTACATACCAAATCTCCCACATCTCCAAGGCACAGGGCTGCATCCTTAGCAAAATGCCATCTCCTCTGCCAGGTACACCAGTAGCAAAGTGGGGATAGAAGATTTCCAGTGCCAAAAAGGCAGATTTGTCCAAATGAACAAATCTTGTCCTGACAGCCTGACACTGTTGTGATCTGACCTTACTTCCACATGTGCTTTGCTCGTCCTGCTCCTTTCCCTCACAAATCCTGAGCACTACAGTACCAAGCTCACTATCAAAAGTCTTGTTCTACAACAGCAGAGGAGGGGCAAAATGGCACACAAGAGAAACTACACTATGTCTAATTCTGGCTTGCCTCTATTTCTGACAGAGTAACTTCAAAGGCAGAAAAAAAGCTGCAGTCTGCTCTCATTAAAACACATGACAGTATCACTACCAACTCAACGGGAGGACCTCATATTAGGGAAATCATACATCACTGAGTCCAGACAGAACACACAGTAAGAGACAGATTTGTGACAAATGGGGAGTTTTCAGAGTGATGTAGATGTATGTAATGACTTACTCAACCTTCATCCTGTTTGGCAGGACTGTAAAAAACAAAAAGCACATCAGTAACAGAAAGAAAAAGGTTAAAGACAAGGAGAGAAACTCCTATGTTTTGTGGTCAGTACTCACTTTGCAACTCCATTTGGCCCACCTACTTCTCCCTTAGCTGATAAAAAAAAGCAATCATGGCCTACACAACTGTGCTTTTGTTCTTCTAAGTACCTCCTCCTGTACCCACACGTTTCAAGGCTTAGAGATCAACTATCACATCCACACATGAGAGAGGAATGAAAGCAAAAACACTTCCCACTACACACAGACACTTGTATTCTATCTCATGCAAGCTGTGAGCCATCAGGTGACTTCAGCCTGTGAGGAACCTCAAAGGCCCCCACCTGAAGCCAATGAGGCACACAGGCCAAGAAAAAAGTTTAACCAGGCAACTATAAAGAGAAGCACTGCAGGTGTTAAGTTTTGAAGGTGTATCATCATTATTGTGGCAAACAATATGACTTTTACTACTAAACATCCTTCCAGCCATAAGACCTGAAAATAATTAATTAAATATAACCTGAAGTGAAGGTAAGGTCAAGTTTGAACATGCCCTTAAAACTGGAGGAAGCTGAACGTGGCCTCCTAATTCATCAGAAAATGCTGGAATAGGAAGGAAAGAAACCATAATCAACATGATAAAAATACTTTAAAATGTGAATATAAAACTCAGGTTTGCTACTGCCAAGACACTAAGGTGCCTGTCTGAATTCATGGGTATAACTCATCTTTTCCATACTACAAATAATGTTAAATTGCCACTTTAAAATGGACAGGCACTGCAGAAAGAACAGAAGACACTACCATTGACTCAGGATAAAAGCCAGTAAGAATATCAAGGCTTTTTAATACGACAAGTCTAAATGATTTCAATAGCACTTAAAGGAAAATCAATGCCTCTACCATTCTATTCCTTAGTCTCCTAACGCTAGTGACTGCCCAGCCACAATAGCTTTGTGACCGAGGCCATCTACTGGTGAGTGGGGTGTGCACATGAATGAGGTTTTTCTTGGCTACATTTAACTAGTGCTTGTCAAATTTAGACACGTGAATTGAGATTGTGCCAAACACCTGTCAGTAATGAGTAAACGTGACCACAGTTTTGGATGAACAAAGAAACAAATACATGAACCTAAAGAAACATGATTTCACCCAGGGAAGAATGTGGCAGAGTCTCCAGCCCCAGATCACACATCTTCCAGATACCTTGTGAGGCCACTGTTTTGTGTAAAATGTATCAAAAATGTCAGTGTTGCTAACAGAGATATGGTTTTTACCCTAAAAATCACCACCAGCATTGTTTTCAAGAATTACTGGAGTCTGAAGGAAGAAGTTTGCAGGCAAAAACTGCAAATATTTTAGATGGGTGTGTATGGGGATTTACAGGCTGTACATCATAATTACAATTGTACTTGTCCCCCTGATTTAAAGCAACAGAAATAGAAGCTGGGCAAGGAGATAGGAGGGAAATAAACCACACTCAAACCCTTACACACTTATTTATAATAACAATATCCGAGTGAGGGAATTTGGGACTGCTAGCATGCTGAGACACAGATACCTCCACACTGTTCTGCTGTTCTCTGTTCAGCATCATTATTCCTAAATCATTACAATGTTTCCAATCAAACAGCACCTTGAGCTCTTTTTAAATATTCTGTAATGCTTAACTTAGTGTTATGATTTTCAGAGTAAGCTGTCTGAGTGGTAGCACTGGAAACACCTGAAATACAAGACAATATCCTCCTCCCTCTTTGTCTTAGAGTAATAAACTTAAACCTTTATGCATCCTTTTTGCCCTGAAAATTTGGGACAACCTTGAATAGCTAAGAGTTAATTTGGAGACATTAAATACATTTCTTATCTGAGATAATAAAAGGTTTGGGTAGATACTCTTGGCTGGCAACCTAGAAACTGGAGGTTCCTGTGTTGCCTGAACAAGCAACATAGAAGAAAATACAGTAAGCTTAGTAATTTATGTACCTTTCCTATTTACTTGTGGTGCAGTAAGGCCATTGGTAGTTGTGTATTTGTAGTCTCAAAGAATCTCCAAAATGAAGATTAGAGTGGCAAACCCCCAAACATCCAACAGCTTCCCCACTCCCCCAGTGCACACAACAGACACAACTTTGAAAGAATAAAATAGTGAGGTATATTCCCAATTACTTCTGTTTTTTTTAAGCAAAACTATTTTTGTCAATTTGGAGTGTGTCCACATCAAGTCACAATTTTAGAGTGAACCAAACCAAACAAAAATTTTTAATCATCAGTCATACAAAAGGATCTACTCTGCCTTTGTTTCCAAAGATGGAGCACTCACTAGTGAAACAGTGATCCCTGACCAGTCATGACAGAGACTCCTGTTTTGATCCATCTAATCAAACAAAAAAGATACTAATAATGTAACCCAAATTAAAAATGAGGATACACCAGCATTTCAAGGTAGACCTCTGTTACTTAAATATGAAAGCAGACACTCCTGAATACAAAGAGGGCTTTCCTGGCTTTTGTCTTCTTTTGCTCCACAATAATGACTTCTTTTAGAAGTGTATCTGCACACTTCACTAGTGTTCCACTTGTTTCTCCTGTTACTATGTCAAATACATCTGATTGCAGCTTCTTAGACCACATCATTCAGTGGCCAAACTGGACATGCTACCATCTAGCATCATCCCAGCAAATGGCCCACAGAATAGTAAACATTTTTTGTTTCCTCTCAAACTTTCCCAGATTGAAATTATTATATGAATTATAATTGTTATAATTATATTCTATAATATGTAATTATTATATTATTATGATTTTAAAACAGAATTTTGTTTCTCCCCTAAAGACAAGGCTCTCTGTCATCACTGAATTTTCTCCAGAGGACAACTCACAAATTCTCCATTGTAAGACCTGCCTGCTGCTAAGGCAGAACAAAATACCATAACAATTTTGCCAGTATTTGACATTAAAAAATTGTCAATAAACTTTATGCATTCTTTTCATTAAGTCACCGCATCAAAAAAGCTGAACTACAGAAAATTTCATTTATACATTTCAATCACAACTACTGTCAATCACAGTAATTATACTTTACACTTTCAAAATACTGCATGAATTTCTACACCATGCTTGGGTAGAAAGTTAGCTTTTAAACTTAACATACAGCATTAAAAAAAAAAAAACTTATCTTCTGTGGATCTGCATCTAAACAGCTGAAGCTACTTACACCAGGACTCTCGTGTTCCAGAAACTGAGAGATAATATAAGAATTTGGAAATTGTTCAGTTGCAACATCTAATGTTCATGCTTTGCTCATTTCTTCAACAAGCATATCAAACAGGGGACTTAACTGAGCTTCAGTGTCAGGTCCCCTTTTAAATTCATGTTTTCAAGTGATTTTTCTTTCATTCATCTTTAAACTTGGACTTGCCTGTATGTTACTGAAAGAAATGTTGGTTTTATTCAAAAACAGAATAAAATCTTAGATCCATATTCCCAGTGCAATGCTGAAAGTTTTTTTTCTTATTTCAATCCTGTACCAAATACTGACAATGGCTCTAACTCTCTTAATCTCAGATATATTGAAAAGCAAGATTACCTCAAAATGAACTGCTGAGGCTAGACAATCTAAGAAGTCCATCTACCTCTATTTCATCTTGCATATTATTCAGTTATCTATTGTACAGTCCCTAGGGAAAAAAGAAACAGGAAAATAACTCAGAAGGGCTACCAGCCATGGAAGTATTGTTTATCTTCAAGTAGCAGCATTTATTCTCAGAATATAAGAAGCCAACACACCCATAAGACCAGCCTGCATGACACTGGCTGTGTAAATGCCCTGGATGAGCATCAATACCCATTAAACTTGTACCAGCCTGTCCCAAGGAAAAGGCTTTATTGTAATGCTGCAGCACACTGCAAGTTTCAGAAACAATTTTGGGAAATCAGACATACAAAACTCATCCCTCTTTTGAAGGAGAAGTCAGGAAGGGGAAAAAAGACCCCCCCAAAAAGCTTGATATTTATAACATCAGAACATTTACAATGGTACATAAAAAGACTGGTAGAAGGCATTTATTCTAATAGCCTTGGATGTTCAATCCGTGTAATAGTCCAGTCTGGTTTTGCTCCTTCTGTAAATTCCCTTTGGAACCTGAAAAAGGAAAGACAGTAAGTGAAGAGCTGTTAAAATCTACCTGACCCTTAAAGAGCTACTAACACCAACAAGAAATCAGGAAGAAATACTTTTTACAGTAAAGTTATTCCTATAAAAGCTCCTTAAACTCTTGATGCTTATGGCCCAAAATGGAAGATGAAAATTAATTCCATCAGAAGAAACAAAGTGTAGCTTTGTGGCAGATCTTCATCTCTAAATAAAGGGTTTCATTTAGTGGAATGGTAATTGCTTTGTAAAGGGAAATCACATGCTACTCATTGTAGCTGAAAAATTTAATTTTTACAGAACTATACTTTAAGTAGTAATATATTTTGAGAAATACATCAAAGATGAAGCTAACAGTAGTACTGAATCTCTCTGAAAGAAAATTCTGCAGATGTAAATAGGAAAATGAAAACATCCACCCCTATTTTCAAAGGGTCTTCCTCTTAATTTTGTAGTAATTAATGCCTCCTCCCTGAGCATGTCAGTTTTGACTGCTTGTCATTTAAAGGCAAGTCTGACCTTCAGGCTGAATATTCATGCTCCCAAGTGACCTGCACACTGTGGACAAGAGCAGTATAATCTCACTGCTTTGCAATTACATGTCAATCCAGTCCTGGAAACTGTCTTCTGCAGAGACCCAAATACTTAACACCAAGCTTCCAAGGTTTGTAGTATCTTTGCCCATTTGAGTTTAGGTTAGTGCTGTAAATAGCAGAAGGAACCTATACTTGCAAAGATGTCTCTGCTGCAGATTAGGAAGATATTTAGGGCTTTAAGGGGAGGCTTGTGGGGTTAATGGACCCCAAGAAGCTTCCAAGTCTAAGGAAAATGCTGAATTCATCTAAGGGGCGGAACCACAAAAACCCATCCAGGCAAACAGCACTGGTGTCCTCAAGAGTGTTTCCTTGGCTTCAGAACTCCTCATCAACTAGACCCCATAATCTCTCCATTTCAAACTTAAGTATAGAAGTAATTGATTATATTGCATTTCTCACTCGAAAGTCCTCACTTTTTCTGAATTCTATCAATGTTATTTCCAGTACATTTTGCCAGCTGTGCAGATATTTCTGCACTGCTCTGACATCAGTACACTAACACAGACATTATTTACAAGCACTCCTATCAAAACCCATCTACCTAATGAGTGCTTTGAGGGCTTGGATCAGAGTGGCATGAATTACCTGAACGCCAGGTGGTGCTTGCTTTGTTCTGCCTTTCTGCAAAAAGTATTTGGCTAAATAATTTCCTCTTTCATGAGCTACTCTTTCAGCTAATTGCAGTTCTGACTGTTGTGTGGGAAGTGACAAGTCAACAGCACCACACTCGACTACTTGGCTTGACTGCATTGCTGTTAGCTCTGCTACAAGACATGGGAAACAAGAATTGATATCGGCCTATTTCCTGAAAGCTGCAGGAGAAGTATAGGAAAGGATGAGAAATTTAATTCAGTGCTCCAACTACTCTCTTCCTGATCGAGAAAGAGTTCCCATTAATGTCAACTCAGAAGCAAGGTAATGACTTCAAGAGGTGCTGAAACAAAATTTGCCTTAGAATCAAAACTGCAAAGTTGGGTGGGAACTAACTTAGATTAGAATCAAAGTAAATTAAAATGTACTGAGTTCTGCACTGGCACAGTGTGAATGCCTTCAGTTCCCAAACTGCCTTCCATACAGCTAGCCCATGTACATGGAGATAAAAAAGGGACAAGTAAACTTACTCGTAGTTTGCTGTTAAAAGATGTCTTTTTTCTTTCATGCTTTCATCTCCAAACACGACCTGGAAAACTTTGGTTTCACCTGGTACTTCATCAGGTAGATTAGCACCATTCAGATACCAGAAACGCATCAGGATGCTAACAAACTTTCTTCCTGTTGGAAATGAATCAAAGCATAAGGTAAATCTCATGTTTCTCATTGGTCAAATACTCCTATTTGCTGCCATAAAGAATGTGTGAGAGAATAATGAAGAATAAAGTTATTTAAAGCCACATTCATGCTGTTTAGCAACAATAAAAATGCACTCTGTTGATAGTATGTATTTTATCACAAGTGCTGTATGACATTTTACATAATCAAATTGTATGAAAAAAGTTGGTTACCACAAGGTCCAAAGCCAACTACTGATACTACAAAGGCATGTAGAGCTGCTGAAGCTCAAAAATAAGAAATTTTAAAAATCCCTATATTCTCCCACAAGAGGAAAAAATGCCCACTGGGTCTGACAATTTGAAAATGCTCACTGGAAGACCCATGGCCACACTATAAACCATCTCAACTGTGTCTGACAGTGAACTGAGCACATAAAGCTGGTTTTCAACCAAAAGAAAAACTTGTTTGTCTTAAGAACAAAGTATATCCCATGAAAACAGAAAAAATAATTTAATTATCCAGCCTTTGCTAGTCTTCTTGGAAAGTGTATTTTCATTGCTGAAACAAATGGCTTTCCACATATAGCAGAATAATTGATTTTGAGTGGTTTGAGATAGCTCATTGAGGACTAATCATGGAAAAATCTGAAATTACAAAAGAAAAGGAATGACCTAAAGCTAAACAGAATTCAAAACTGTATCATGAGTTATTAACAATAACCTCCATTTCAGGTTCAAAAGGAGATCAAGAAATGATAAACAGGAAAACACTGAATGAGAAACAGTACTCAAAACCACAGCTATAAGAATTCCTGCTTAGTAGCAAAAGCCCATTGCTGAAGCATTTTAGAATTCTAAACATACCATCATCGTCGTAGTAAATGCGAACATCTCCTTCTGTTGTATACATGATTGCATCCACCTCAGCTGCTAGAGCATCCCTGTGGTTCTCAGGGAGCAAAGAAATCTTTTCCTTCAGCACCTGAAGTACCTAAATTCAGAAAAACTGACATTTAGTTTTACATTAGAAAATTGAAGTAACAATTCTTTTTCCAGGCAGATATTAAAATGAGATATACTGCTAAAATATTTGGATAAAATATACAATAGTGGAAGTGAAAGAGCATTGGGAAGTTTGGGCACCCCCAAACCCTGATTCAACGATATCAAAGAAGATCTACTGCTCAAACTAATGAAAACAAAGTATATTTAAATAATGTGCTGTCGAAACAGAAGTTGCAAAGCAAGGCACATAAGCCCAGAACATATCAGCTAAGCTTGCTTCCACAACCATACTTACACTGCTCCTTCTCTCTGCTGTTACCTATATGTGCACTCCTCAGCTTTTGATTGAATTATTTCTTCATTATCTTTCACAAGTTTCTTTGAAAATCAGTTCCACTACCACTAAGTTTATCGTTGTAATTTAGTGACCCATGTCCCCATTAAAAAAAAAGTTTAAGCACTTTCAAATCAGAAAAGACTGAAAAAAGCATTGCTCTGGGAGTTAAGTTCCAGACTACATTTGCATTCATGAGTGTCCTAAGACCTATACAGCTGTGTTAAGTAGGGAAAAAAAAAAGGTCTGGTGCACAAAATGCACAGGCAGTCACTTCAAACACCACATGAGAAAGACAAGTCACAAGGAAGGATAAAGGTATGCAGCACTTATTTTTAACTCATATTCAGTTTTTGGCCTAACTTGAATTGCTGGTTTTGAATAACAATCAATCATGGAAGCAAGAGGTAATTTCACTAAAAGACACTGGTTTTTAGTACACGTTGCAGGTATAAAATTCACTGGTCAAAGCAACAACAAAGTAGTGTTTTATCAGCCTCACGCCCTACATGCTCTGGTTGTGTGAGGTCTCTGGATCAATGTTAACCCAATCACCTGAAGAATTTAAAATGAGCAG